ATCGTACGGACTGCTGTCGTATCGGGCTACTGCTCTCAGTGAAGGGTCGAGTGCGCAGTGGGATGCTGTCGCGCGTGATCAATCTCTGCGGGCCTTCCAACGGGTTGGGGTTCGAGGAGTTGTCACGCCGCGGCGCATCACCAGCGCTAGCGGCATCTGGTGGCGCAGGCGCCATGCCGTTCGGCGTGTGCTTCGAGAATTTGTGCAAATTTATGACGGTTTATTCCACTATCTTTCTGTTCTAAAAAACACAAGATATGGCGTACCCTGTGATGTAGATGAAAGATATTAGATCTCGACCCGACCGGGCTGACGCACGATGTAGGGTAGTAGCATACGAGTTCAGCATGAGAAGCGATGAGGCCATGCAATGCCAGAACGTGCCGTAAATATGCAACGAATAGCTATTCTTAGTCCTATATTGATCGTCCCGGTGCGGTGCCTGAGTCATCATTGCGACGCAGAACCAGTGTATGTAGAGACGTGACAATCACGGTCGACAGCGGCGCAACCCCAGCGCCAGCAGCCATCCGTACCATTGAAGCACACAGGCGCCACGCTGCGCTCCGATGACTGTTCCTGGGTAAATATGAGTCAAATTACGCGGTCGAAATCTATAATACTACTCCGCGTGAGAAATGTGCAAAGCGCAAAGCAGCCTGCGCGGGTGTCGAGGGCCGGGGCGTGCCCTTGTGCCAGCAGCGTCTTTCGGACCTCCTTGCCAGTGTCGCAGGGCTGGTGGTTAGCACAAAGGTCACTTTCTACCACCGCGTCACCCGGCTCGTGGTACGCCTGACCAGTTTGAATTAGTGGGCCCGCAGTATCTTCCTTGGCAAGCTGCTCTAGACCGTCAGCAGACTGCCCATTTTCTGCGTCGCTTAGAGCCGACTGTTGCGAGATAGCAATGATGGGCGCAGACGCGCAGGGAGCCGTCGGATCTCGATTGCTACTGCCCCGCTCCCGGGTAGTGCGGCCTCGAAAGCGCCGTCTCGCAGCTGTTTGAGGCCGCCACAGGTTCTCTGTTTTCATCCGCCGAGGTGGCGCGCCGTCGTTACTGCATCATCTACGCAGATTCGAGCTCATGGTCCTTGCGCCTCCAAATGCTACCGTGAAGTCTCTTGTAGATCGCCTGTCCTCTGTCGCCCCATCAGACGGATTGGCGTGGCAAGCACTGCCACATATCGGTCACTTCGGGCTGTTGAGCACAACTTTGCGCCGTGATGTTTCCGAGCAAGAGCTAAGACGTGGAAGCAGAGACGGAATATATGACTGATACCCCAGAAAGAACTCTAGTTATGGTAGCCTCTTCCTTCTGCATCGCCCGAAGCTGATTCTGCCACACAGGAGTTATAACTAGTGTGGATGTGCACGAGGTAACAGCCAAAATCGACTGCTTATTTCGACTGCCTAAAGCCTCAAATAGCAAGTGGGTACTTCGCAGCGCTTCACGGCGGCTTAGAATGGCTGCCAGCTACTATTCTTAGTGAACCAAAAAAAGGGAGATTGGTTTCGCTTTTCTCTGTACTGTATTCAATTGGGAACGACGGAGCGGAGCGACGTTCAACGCGAAGAAAACGGCAGTCATGCACTTTACTCGGAACGCGCGCAAAGCCGACACAACGCCCATCGTGATCAAAGGACAGTCGGTGGAGCCCAAAGAACATACTAAGATCTTAGGCGTGATCATGGACGCTCGGCTTAAATTTCAACAACATATTCCAGAAGCCGCGTCAAAGGCCATGGAAGCAGCTATGGAATTGAAAAGACTGCGAGGATTGTCAGCAAGAACGGCAAGGCAGTTGTTTGCAGTCACCGTGACTCCAGTAGTCGACTATGCTTCCAATGTCTGGATGCACGCCTACAAGGACAAGCTAATGGGACAAATCAATCGCGTCCAGAGAGCGGGAGCGCAAGCTATCGTGGGCACATTCATGACCGTAGCAACATCCGTGGCGGAGGCGGAAGCACACATTGTGAGCGCGCGGGAGCGGTTCTGGAAGCGGGCGATCAAGATGTGGATAGCGGTACATACTCTGCCCGGAACGAATCCACTCAGCAGAATTACGAAACGGATTAAAAAGTTCTATACGCGCTTTCGATCACCTCTGCACCAGGTGGCGGAAAGGTTGAAAGGCTTACCACTCTGGCAGATGGAGACCATCACCCCGGTTCTGGTGGAACCTTGGAGGGCCCGCCTGAAGACAGTGATGGACAAACCGGCCGATGAAGTATGCGCAGGGTGGACACTAGCTGTTGCGGTGAGCAGCTCGGCGAGGAACGGCATGGTGGTAGTTGGTGGAGTCATTCACAGCAGGAATATGGAACGCAGTCAGTCCGAGCAGAAGGTCTTCTCTTTCACGCTTGGGCCGAGAGCAGAGCAGAATCCGTTTTCAGGAGAGCTGGCGGCTATAGCATATGCATTACGGAAGCTACCCGACAGCAATCGCCAGAATATTGCAGTTTTCTCGCGCAACAAGGGAGTGGTGGCAGCATTGAGTCGGCCCTGTCAGCAATCGGGACAAGGATTTATCACATGCATCTACGACTCGGTAGAGAAGCTGGTTGGGAAAGAAAACATCGTTTCTGTAGGATGGGACTCGCCGAGCAAGAACAAGCTGTTGCAGGCGGCCAAAAGACAGGCAAAAGTGGCTACGCAGCAGGGCGCTGTACCTGAGGTTCCATTCCCAGTGATGAAGAGCACGACGTTGAACAACGAGCGAAGAAACCTTAGAAGTGAACGATGCATACCTGAAGGAGTTGGACGGTTCTCCAAGAAAATAGATGTGGCGCTACCTGGGAGCCACACGCGCGAGATTTATGAGGAGTGGTCATGGAGGCAGCGCTCAACGCTTGCCCAGCTGAGGACAGACATGGCAAAACTGAACGGTTATCTCCATCGTATCAAAGCAGTACCTTCGGAGCAATGCGCTTGTGGGCAGGCGAAAGAAACGGTCAAACATTTTCTTTTACAGTGCCCGCAATGGGATGAACAGCGAAAAGAGTTACGAGCTTGCACAAGCACGAGATGGAACGATTTGTCGTACCGACTAGGGGGAAAATCGGCATCAGACGGACCGAAATGGAAACCAAACATGGGAGCAATCCGAGCGACGATACAGTTCACACTGGCCACAGGACGTTTCGACAATTGACAGGCGAATCAGTACAAAAGGGCTTTTTATCAGACCATGAAACCACGTCCACGGTGAGCATGACTAGCGACGCTTCGGTTGCTGTAGATAGGACGCCGAACACTTGGGGAATAGCCCTCAAGCTAGTTAGTCAGTGATAACAAATCACGCGGAATGTTGGATGCTGGGGATGAAAAGACGAAGTGAAGAGAACAGAGAACGACAGGGATGAAGTGGAATGGATGAGGCGAGTGGCCAGAAATGTACCTATGAACAGCTAGTGAGCCCTATTGGCTGGAAGCCACCGGGCGTAATAAAACAATGAATGAATGTATTCAATTGATTATAGATTGAAATAGGGCTAACGCCATTCTTGAATAGGCGTAGATCATCAATTAGTACCAACATGCCCGAATGGCAAGCGGGAGCTTCATGCTATGGTGCTCTCCGCTTGGCAACTGTTGGGACAAAGGGCGTGCTTCTTCGCCGGCCCGTCTCGTGCCGGCATCACTCATGAGACGTTGGCGCGTAAGGCGCTCTAAGAATGGGCGGAAGTACGTGGCGGGCATCGCTGTTTTGTGACCGAGATACGAGGGCAGCACAAAAGAAAGTCGTGACAACCCGAATAGTGATTAGTAGATAGCCATCTCATTCTCCTTATCTTGTCTCCCTTCAATTTGACTCAAGTGCCGCCATCATCGCGGCCGTGCAGCACATCCTGTACGGCTACCCTGCCAGGCGTGGACACGAATGCTGCAGCGGACACGCCGCCCTAGCGCCCGCCTATACTATGAACTCCTGTTTGCCGGCTTCATCCCACTCGATAGACGCTTCAGAAGCGAGCAGTGTCAGGAGGAACCCGACGCAGCTCAGGCCGGTCAGGACGAAAAACACAGCACGGAACGACTGCTCGTACGCGGCCAGGATATCGACCAGCTCGGCTGGCGAGAGGTCCAACCCGGTCAGTCGCGGTATCGCGCCCAAGGCCTGGTTATCCTGCAACAGAAGGCGAAGCGCGGGCGGCAGGGCGCCGAGGATAGCGACCGAGGTGCTGAACTGGTTGCCGAACGCGGCGACGGAAACGGCGAGCCCCACGGACGCGCCGAACAGCCGGAAAGAAACCAGGATGCCCACTGCGTGGCCGTGAGCGTCGGGCTCCGTGCTGGCCTGCGTCATGATCGGCAGGGCGGTGAACAAGGAGCCAAGCCCGACCGCCACCATGGCCTCGAAGCCGACTGTCTGGGCGAGGCTCGTGTGCGGCCCCCACAGCGTGCAGAGACCGAGGCCGAGGCTCGGAATCAGCCACGACAGCCTGACCGCCCAGACGTAGCGGCGCGTCCGCTCGATCACGACGGCCGCGATGCCCGTGGATGCCATCAGAAGCGTGTAGAAAGGAAGGAGGGACACGGACGACCGAAGAGGCGTCTCCAGCCTGACGGACTGGAAAAGCAGAGGCAGGTGGAAGATGAGCGTGTAGAAAACCATCCCGTGCACGAAGCTGAGAGCCAGCGCGCCGGCGGCCGTGCGGGCGCGGAAGAGGCGGTAGGGGAGGATGGGCTGGGCGGCTCTCAACTCGTGCCACGCGAACGCGCCCAAAACAGCGACGCCGACGACGAGCGGGAGCAGCGTCCTCCACGAATCACCCGGGTACATGGCGCCCGCACAGCTCAGGGGCAGCATCAAGGAGACGGCGCCGACGACGAGCAGAGCGAGGCCGCACCAGTCGAAACCTGCGAGCCGCGGCAGGAGATCGCCCTCGAGCGGCTTCAACGTGAGGCAGAAGACTGACAGCGGAAGGCAGAGAGCGACGAGGGGCAGATTCAGCCAGCCGATCCACCGCCAGGACGCAAACTCGCCGAGCAGGGCGCCCACGACGGGGCCGAGGACGCTCCCCAACGCGAACGGGATGGAGACGAGGCCGATGTAGAAGGCCCGTTCTCGCAGGGTGGTGATGTCGGCCACGAGGATCTCGTTCAGGACGTCGATGCCTCCGCACCCGGACCCCTGCAGCGCGCGAGCGAGGATCACGACCGGGAGAGACTGCGCGGTCGCGAAGACGACAGACCCGGCCGGGAAGAGGAAGAAGGCAACGTAGAGCGGTATCTTGCGGCCGATCACCTCCGAGAGACCCGTGTACACGGGCAGCACAACGGTGACGACCAGCAGAAACGAGGCATTCGCCCAGAAAGCCTCCAGGTACGTTTCGTCAAGCTCTTCTGCTATGATCTGGGAGCTGCGTCAGCCGAGGCAGCGGGCTGCTTGCGCCGCGGCCGGCGGGGCTGGTCACTCACCGGTATGACAACCGCCAGCGCCGTGGCGTCGATGGAGACGATCAAGACCATCAGCAGTATGGAAAAGAAAGCAAGATGGAACTTGAGAGGTTTTCGGAGCTTCTCCCGAGCGTCGAAGCCCGTCTTCGGGTCGTGACCACCCGGTGAGGAGGGGGTCTCCGGCGCAGCGTGGTTCGGCCCCGCCGTGCTGGTCGTCTTGGCCGCGTTGGCCATATCCACCGTACTGGCCATGCTGAGAGTGTTGAGACGCTGCCGTGACCGTGGCGCGGAAGCTTGGCGCGACAGCACACGCGGGTCGTATAGTGCAACGACACCTTGAGCCGGTGGTCGTTTCTGATTGCTCCGTGTGTGAACCCGTCGCGTATTACACGGCCGCTTTTTTGTCTGCTGCCGATGGAGCCAGTGGCGGGAGCCGTTTCGGGCCCTTCAAGATCGCCGCGTGCTCGACAGCCATGCCGCTGCCGCCATCCGTGGCCAGATTTGGCTACTCACCCATGACAAACACATCGCCGGGGGGGGGGGGGGGGGGTGAGTGGCGGTACGAACAGCATAGAGTCCCTACACGCCGGGAGCGGAAACCCCATGATATTATGCTTGCGCCTCCCGCTCCGGGCAGCACAGCTATCATGCCTGTCAGAGGGATTCGACCGGATCAATCACATCCCGCCACCACAGGGAACCGCCCGACTCATCTTCGAACCATTCTCTCCAGCAGCGATGTGTGGTTTCGTGGCAGTGTACACTCCCACCGGGGCGGTCGACCCGTCTTGGAGCCGACCTGCGTCTCCTACGTACGGTGAGAACGGCACAAAGGCCAATCATTTTCGTCTCGAACGCTCCGAACTACAACAGCAGCTAGCAAAGGCTCTTGAACTGATCCAGCATCGGGGCCCGGATGGCCGTGACGTGTGGGTCAACGCGGATGCCACAGTTGGCCTTGGACACTGCCGGCTTGCCATCAACGACACCTCGTCGTCCGGATCTCAGCCGCTGCACGACGCAGCGGAAAAGATCCACGCGGTGGTGATCGGAGAGATTTATGAGTACGACGAGCTTCGCCGGCACTGCGAGGACGCTGGGTACGAGTTTGGCGGCCGCAGCGACAGTGAGCTTGTCCTGGCCCTCTACGTCGTCCACGGCGCGCCGGGGCTCTTCCGACATCTGTGCGGGGAGTTCTCCTTCGTGATCGTCGATGCCAGGGGCGTTATGGAGAAGATCATTGCCGCGAGGGACAGGTTCGGCATCAAGCCGCTCTCCTGGACTACGCAGCAAGGGCGGATCCTGTTCGCGGCCGAAGCGAAGGCGTTCCTCGCCTTGGGCTGGGTCCCGGAGTGGGACGTCGACAGCATAGCTACGTCTGGCTGGCTGGCAGACGACAGGACCATGTTTCAGGGCGTGCAGAAGCTTGCACCAGGCCACTGGATGGAGATCGGGCCGGGATCCGCGAGGGCGGACCTGCGCACCAAGCCGTACTGGGACCAGCAGTATGCCACCAACTCGGCAACGGACCGCCAAGGGAAGGGCAACGAGGTGCCTGTCGCTAGGATGATTGAGGATGTCCGTGAAAAGCTGGTCGACGCCGTACGCGTCCGCCTGCGGGCAGACGTCCCCATGGGTCTCTACCTCTCCGGGGGCATCGACTCCTCTGCCGTCGCCGGCATAGTGGCGCATCTCGTGAGTCGCGAGAACGTGAAATTGGGCGGCGGCGGCGCGGAGGTTGTCGGCCGGCCGCCCAGAATCAAGTGCTTCACTGTCGGCTATACCGATGCCACGTATGATGAATCAGGTGAGCGGCGGCCGTCGCGCCCTGCCCAAATGTACACGTGCTAACCTACGGACCCCCTGCTCCGCCAGACGTCGCGGCGAGCACGGTGAATTGGCTCAGCGAGAGGTTCGGACTGCAGGTCGAGTGTCACAGGCTGGAGATGGATGAGCAGAGGCTTGCCGACAACTTCGAGGACTCGATATACCACACCGAGCACCACATTTTCGACCTGAACACTACGGCCAAATCCGTGCTGTCGAGCCTGCCACGCAAATACGGGATCAAGTCTGTGCTGTCCGGGGAAGGATCCGACGAGCACTTTGCGGGGTACTCGTACTTTACCGCCGATTTCCTGCAAGAGGCGGACCGCAGCGTGGCCGATCCCGCCTTGGCCGATTCCGTCCTGGCCGACGAGGACCGGCTGGCGCTGCAGTCACGCGTGATCTCTGAAATGACGGACATGGTCAGACCCCACGGCCTGGCGATGGGCGCGCAGCCGGAATCGGAACTGAAGAGGGGCATGACTCTTCCCGCGGTGCTCTCCCTGTTCCCGCAGGGCCGAATCTTTGCCGACTGGGTGCTCGCCGACCGGGAATCCGTGCCGGGCTCGAGGCTCCGGTCCTTCTTTGCCGGCAAGGACGCGATGGAGAGCTGGCAGCCGCTGCACAAGTCGCTGTACATGTGGGCGAAGACGCTGCTGCCCAACACCATCCTGACCGGGCTCGGGGACCGGTCTGAGATGAGGAACAGCGTCGAGGGGCGGCCGCCCTTTCTCGACCACCGCCTCGCGGAGCATGTCAACGCGCTGCCGCCCGGCGTGAAGATGCGATACTCGCCAGACGAGAGCCGGGGCCGCTCGCGGGGCAACGCAGATGATTACTGGTGGAAGAGCTCGGGCTCTGGTCTTCGATCGGTCACCGAAAAATGGATTCTGCGGGAGGCGGTGCGACCGTTCGTGTCGGACGACATGTACAGACGCAGAAAGGTCATGTTTCTCGCGCCGATCCGATGGGCTAAGGGTGGTCCGCTTCATCTCATGTTCCGGCGGATTCTGACTGGAGAGTCGATCCGAGAGCTGGGGTTCGTCCGTTGGCCGTTCGTGCGGGACGCTCTGGAGCGCGGCTTCGGCGAGGCGGCGGATGGTGCTTGCTTCAGGGCCGTCATCTACGCTGCTAGCTTGACCATCTCTTCCCGGTTCAAGAAAGCGCTGCAGCAGTCGCGGGCCGCGGAAGCCCGAGTCGACGTCTCGCATAGCTGAATGTGCACTACGGTGGGGACAAAGGCAGAGAGGAGCCAGAGGCTCGACGTAGTTAAATTGTAGGTTGAATGCTATTCATCTATCTACTCACTTCCTTCACTGCCCGTGATTAGATGACTCTCCCTCAATGCAACCCGTGACAGCCTCGCGAGCGACGGTACGAGACAGCCTTGGCCGAGCGTCAAACTACGGTGGCCAGAACTCGAAACGCGGACGATCGAGTCACTGCTGCCGGATCTTCACCGGACAGCGGCTCCCCTCAGGCTACGAACGGTACACGCCGCGCCCTTGTCCGTGACCAACTTGCCGGGTCGGCCGTCGAGACGCGCGAGGCGAGGCGAGAATTCTATCTCGAGATCATCCGTCGTCCTGAAACCGGGCTGCACGGACTTCCAGACCCTTTTCTGCGTGCTGATTTGCTCCCTAGGTGTGCCCTCCCAGTTTTGGAAGAAGACACGGTCACCGGCTTTCGAGTCCGCGGGAGGATCGACCATCTCCACGACGCACCGGCGGTGCCCCTCATCCTCCGCGTCGGAGACGGCAGCGAAGAACATGGCGGTGGACACGATACCGCACATGCCCACATGCTTGACGTTCCCCACGACGACAACCTTGCGATCCTGTAGCTCCTCCAGAGGTACCAGCCCGTTCAGCCCAGAGCACACGGTTCGGCACGTCTGCCCTCCGTATTGGAAGGTGCCCCTGTCACCCGGAATGTCACCAGCGGCCACCGCCGAGACGTAGAGCTTGCGGGCGCTCGGATGCTTCGTGATGCTGAGAACACGTCCGACGCGCAAGTCCAAGTAGGCTGGCGTGCGCGAGGTCCTCGTCTCTGCTTTCTTGTCGCCTGGGGGTGCTGGGTCGTGGGTGCGTCGTTCGCCCGAGGGCACCTGCGGATTCGATGGAGGCATTGGCTTGGCCGATTGATTGCTGGCCTCGGACGACGACGGGCTGTCGGTGTTGAGCTCGAATGACAATCGGCCTACGCCTGCACCCGAAACCAGAAATTTGTAATCTGAAGACTTTGTCAATGGCATCTCTTCCAGGGAAAAATCGCGACCATGGCCTCTTGCCGTCATGGCCCGTTTCCGCTAAAACGGAACTGGAGCGGCCCTTTCCCTTGTCTCCGAGGGCCAATTTTGACTTCAGGTACGGTTTAGCAGGCGCGATACGATTATGAGCGCATTCGGCAAGGGTCGTCGGTTGTGGCTCCTGTACATGACCCGCCATGGTTCGGTGGCTATGCATACTATTCATCGGATATCATTAGGTACGCTGGGTCAACATCGCACAGACACTATGACCGTTGCTCTTGGGATTCCAGAGAGAATCGCCGCGGGAGCTGCAGCACGACCTCGTCGGCCAGGACCTCTCCAACACGCCTGTGGAGCGCTAGCTATATGTGCAGAACCTGATTGTTCCCAACTGACTCCTCCTCTCACGCACCCATCCTCGAATGCATTGCTTTTACAGTGGGCGAAGCGGCCAAGAGCACCGGTGGCGACAGTGCTGAGATGGCAGCTGAAAGTGGTGGCTAGAGTGGTGGCTTCGGCGCCACCCAGAGCGTTGGCTACAGAGCACACCAGAGAGCGCGAACCCCGGTCGCTTGCAGCCGGCTCCTGCTCAAAAACCTCCCTCGTCGACACGACTAGTAGGCATGGAAGGCGCATTCCAGTAGTAGAAGCGCCCGCTGTAACCCACTGCCGGGGCGCTGCAACAATGCACGGTGGCTCGCTCATGGTGTGCTGGGCTGTCTTCAGCGCGTCGAGCCGAACTGACAACCATCACGGTCATTTAGTTGTCAGACGGGCGCGGTGTCTTTTTTCGAGGAGGTCTTCCGCTCGGCCTTTTGTCCGTTGTGCACCGCTTCCACGCTCTTGGCCGTGGATATAGCCGGCGGGCACAGCTGGTGGGCAAGAGTTGGCGAACTACGCCTGCGCTCCCGGAGAGCGCCATCACGTCTATCAGGCTGCAGGGGCTCGCTGACGAAAGGGGCAAGAGTCGGTCCGTGCGCAGCCACGTACGCCACTTGCACCACCCTGTCCGGATGTGGAAAATGTTGTCAACTCCGCCTCCAGCTTCGTCTTCTGCAACAGTTACTGCATGACATATCGCAACATTTGCAGCTGCATAGACCGGTTCATCCCCTTCGCCATCGCCACTGTATCGTGACGCGCCGCCCACAACTCAGCTCGCAGTGTCAACAAGCCGTAAAGTGCTCGTCATGTTTTCTCGCCGCGGCCGAAAGCTCCGCTTACTAGCTCGGCAGACTCGAGTCCGAGATTACCTTTTTAGTTTGTTTTTTTTCGTTATGCGGAAACGCCCATCCTGGCAGCAACTTTATGGGTCGACTGCACTGGCGCCGGCCCTACCATTTCAAGCCAGCCACTTTGGTAAAGAAGTGGATCTGTCACCCGCAGAGCCACAAGCGGTGCGGACGGCTCGCGGGAGAGAGATCGTAGATTTCCCGACCCTGCAGCGGCTGCGTAACCGTCATGCTGCTGCCGTGCCTTATGTTCTGGGCAGCCAGCGGCTGCGATATAAGCGTAAGGCTGTACGAAGCGTAGACATTGTCTGCAGCCTGCTCTCCAAAGTTGCACGTTTGCTCTGTGTCACAAGGAACCGGTGCGCTGCAGCCTCTGTACGCCTCTATCCTGCGATTCGCTAACCAGATACTCGGTAACCAGTGAGAGGCGTTGATGAAGCGCGCTCCTGCGCGAGAGTGGGTGAGACGGAAATTGCGCCTCGCCGAGTCCCTACTAAGTAGAGTGGGCAGCTAGAGTAGCGCGCCCCCCCACAACCCCCATTTCTTTTCTTCTCTGGACGCATTGAGCTTCGGAGCGAATCGGTTTACGCTGCGGAAGAAAGCCGTGAGGTGCTATTGCCTACGCTCGAGACACGTTACAGGATCGCGCTATGGGCTGGCCGCTCGTAGTAAGAACGGTGAAGAAGTCCGTTGTGTTAGGCCACTCGCGGCGTGGGCTACTTAGTTGTTCGTCACCTGCTCCTTGGAGGCGGTTACGATGGGCTGAAGTGCGGGCCCACCTCGGCCTGTTAGCTGCAGTCTAGCGCTGGCTTCCTTGACCCCGACGCAGGCATCGAGGACGAATTGGCGGGTGGATGGCGTGCTGGCTCGCCAACCTCGAGCGCACCGGCCGCAGTTGGCCGGACGCAGCCGAAGCGAGCCCGCTGCCAGGCTCTGGAGGTCTCAGCAGCCCTCGCGAAAACCGGTGCGTACGGACCACAAAATGAGAGATGAACTCCGCGACAATCCAGCGCTCACACCCTACTTCCATTCTGGGCGCGCGGCGCCGCCGCCCACAGAGTTCAGTGAAGGCCTCATTGCAAAACTGTCCACCGGGGGTATATATTCTACCGAGACTATGTAGTGTGGTGCCAGGTAGGTACAGACAGGGGTGCTCGGTGCTCGGTCCGACTGTTGTGCTTCATCCCAGCAGGACGTATGGGTCTCTCGTAGCGGTTTTGGCGCCCCATGGTGGACGCGGCGCCCAGTGCCAGGAAGACGTTGCCCTTGATGTGGCGACTGGAGAGGTCTGCGCAAACGAGGCTGCAGGGGTAGCGGCACGAAGCGTCTGCCACAGCGTGCGGCCGCAAACTGGTGGCCCTGTCGCTCGGCATCGAATACTTGTCACATGACAACAAGCTCTTCACAAGACTGCAGCAGGGATGATGCACTTACATGTCGGCAAGTCTACGAGCCTTTACAAGCTTTTTCACCGCAATGATCTGTGACAGGCTGCAGGCGGCGAAAGGGGCGCAACGCCGACTCCAACCCCGTTCCGAAGAGGAAAAAAAAAACAAACCCCAAACAGCACAATTTTGCGTGCCGCTGCAGGGGTCAGCCGTTCCTGACGGGCAAGTGTTTGTTAATCGATTGCAAATGACTTACTCTGCACCATGCGCGGGATTAAGCTACCAGTGACTTGCAAGTGCTTGTCAATCAATTGCAGACGACTTACTCTCCACGCGTTGCGAGGACTAAGCTGCAACTCACTGGTAAATGGTTGCCAATTGATTGCAAATGGCTTGCTCTGAGCCACGCGTTCTTGAGGGGGGGGGGGGGTAAGCCGTGATGGCAACTGCTTGTCAATTAATTGCAAATAACTTCCTCTGCACCATGCGTTGCGGAGGGAAGCCGTAACTGACTGGCAAGTGATAGTCAATCGAGCCGCCACTGATTGCCAAGTGCTTGTCAATCGATTGCAAATGACTTACTCTGCACCACCGTTCTGGGAGCTAAGCCATAACCGACTGACAAGTGCTTGTCAATTGATTGCAAACGACGTATCCTGCACCACGTATCCTGCACCACGCGTTGCGGGGGGAAGCCGTAATTGACTGGCAAGTGCTTATCAATTGACCGACTGGTTAAGTGCTTGTCAATTAACGGACAAGCGCTTGTCAATGAATTGCAAATGATTGCTCTACACCACGGTTGCGGGGTGGTAAGCCGTAACTGACTGACAAGCGCTTGCCAATGAATTGCAAATGATTGTTCTGCACCACCCGTTGCAGGATTTAGCTGCAAGTCACTGGTAAATGGTTGTCAATTGATTGCAAATGGCTTGCTTTGCACCAAATGAACAGCTCTGCACCACGGTTGCGGGGGCCAAGTGGTGACTGACTGAGAAGTGCTTGTCATTCGATTGTAAATGACTTGCTCTGTATAGATGACTTGCGCGTTGCGGGGGCCAAGCTACAAATGACTTGACCAGTGCTTGTCAATCGATCGCTAATGACTTGCTCTGGCCCACTCGTTGGGGGTGGGGGCGGCTAAGCCGTAACTGGATGGCAAGCGTTTGTCAATCGATTGCAAATGACTTACTCTGCACCACGCGTTGTGGTTTATCAATCGAGCTGCAATTGATTGACAAGTGCTTGTCGATCGATTGCAGACTACTTACTCTCCACGCGTTGCGGGGACTAAGCTGCAAC